GGTTCAGGGGATCTCGTAGTCGAGCAGTCTCGACTAGAGCTTTCTTACTTGTTCTGTGTGTATTTCTTGTGCAAGCAGAAAGGCTCGAAGAATTGTTGTGAAATATCAATTCTTCGAAGGGTTCAAGGGATTTTGCAGTCGAGCAATCTCAACTAGAGCTTTCTTACTTGTTTGTTTGATGAGATCGGTATCATGAAATTACCCCCTATTATAAAAACAAAGTTAAGTAAAAGACACAGGTTTGATCCTAGCTTACGTTCCTGATGATGTGCTTTCTGATTGTATCATCATAATTATTGATTACTTAATATTGATGATATTATAGCTAGATTCTCGTTAATGTCTCTATTTAACGACTTTCCGATAGGGTTAAAGTGTACGGTATCCCGTTGTATATACGATCGAGTATAAAACGTTTGAGCCATTAAGTAACAAGTGCTAACTTTTGTGATACCTCAAACTGAGTTCGAGCACTTTACTCATGTCGCCGAGGTGGTTAAACCTCCCGCTAGCATGTTTTAGAGGGGTTTTTCGACCACGAGTTTGGAAGGAGGCGGAGGAAGTGGCACAGCAAAATGGTTAAACGAACGACTACAATGCCCGCCACAGGGACGGGTGACTTATAAGCAGAGCACAATTAGGCGAACGGGAGCTTGGAGGTGTGGCGATGCCGGAGAAGTCGCGTGGCAGCATTAGCCCATAAGTCAGGCGCCTGCACCACAATCAAAGCAACACAACAACAGAAAGTAATTCAATGCCCGCGACGTCGAAGTCGTCGTCGTCGACGGAGCCCGAGGCGCGCTCTCTATGAAAATTGGCTACGTGTAGGACTTTAGAGTGGACAGGCACATGAAACACAATTCAAAAACGCTTCGACCGGCAAAGTTGCCAGACGGAATTTCTTCTGCATTGTGCACAACACGGCCAAGAGTTTCCAAGGGAAGTCCAGTCTAAAAGTTAAGCATTCCTCTTTGATAACTTTCTCGTAAGATATTTTAATAAACTTTGCTCGACTTCATTAAATTCGATTCAAGTAAATATGTGCGCTTGTCTCCGCGCCGGCTGTTTTCCCCAATAAGTAGAAACAATCGAGCCTGATTGATAGTCAATTAGTGCGAGTAAACGCGACGGAGCTGCGCCATCCGTGGAGCCAACAACCGCTTGCACATTAGCGGTGACTGCTCATCCCAAAGGTCCGTAGATAAAGTGGCATTAACCTAATTGCCGCAAAAAATAGTGCAAAGGACAACGAACGACCGCAGAGCAAAGCAGTGCTGTGCAACGTGTTGCAATAAAAGTAATTTACATAACCCAGGTAAGTCAACGGTAGAAAACGTGGAAGCATTCGCCAATTTCCCACAGCCGATTCCACCGACCAACCAACCATTATCCAAAAAAAAAAAACTTCGCAATGGTAAATTTCAATGCGACTGAAATAGTTGCATATGAGCCAAGCGTCAGTGGGGTCGACGGGCCAAACTGAACAGACCCACATCACTTGAGGCATGCTACGCCCAGTTCTTGGTCAGCTGCAGAACTTGGATATACTTGCATATAAGTGAAAAATACTTGCCCACTTGTACGTACAACAGAGCAAGTTGGCCAGCTGGCCCGAAATTTCGTTTAAAGTCAACTGTAGGAGCAGCCACTTCTGAGGCCCTACACAGGCGGACTGCGCCAACACAGGCATAGTTAAATGTAGGGGAGACTTAAAGGGCGGATGCATGAAACAAGACAAATAGTGCGCGATTTTTCCAGTCAAGAGCCGAACGCTGGCATCATTGTCGAAGCAGTGTGAGAAGTTGAAGTGGGTTCCTTACACAGTTTCACTGTTTACAGACAAAGGAACTGTGAAGTTGTTGGTCCGACAGTTGTTGAGTTGCGTCTGGAGTGGATCTGAAGAGCTTCTGAAAACGGACATGACATGGACGCAATGCCTTTTGCTAGTGCTGCGATGATGGCTATCGAGTAGAAAGGCCCAAATAGCTCAAATGGCGAGATTTGAGTGCTACCCCAAACCGAGATTTTATTTAAAACGAATTTCTAAGTAACTCGACATGTTTTTTAGGACCATCTACAGCTGTGCATTTGGATCTAATAACGGAAAATGTAAGAGGAAACCAGAACCTCTCAGCACATGAGGCCCACGTCGACTACGTCGAATCTAAATCTTATACGCGAACGAATCGAGTAGAAACTGCACCTTCAAGCCGCTTTGAGTCGTCGTGATACAGAAGCTACCCTGGCGACTTTTGACCACAACAAAGGAGTCACGCAAGGCAACGGCACGCTGAGATTGGTGTCACGCCAGAGTGTGCGAAGGAGAGGTAGGGGGAGAGAGACAGAGACAGAGAGCCGAGGAAAGCAAAGAGAGCTTGAGCACAACTCTTGCTACACGGACAATGTCCAACGAAGAGAACGACTACGGGGACACTGTTGCTGGGGGTGGTGCTGGTACAGGCACTGCTTCTAATGTTGGTCATGGAGATTGCGATGGTGATGGTGGGCTCGCAGCTGTTAATGGCGAGCCCATTCTCGGCGGCCAAACAATGCCTCAAATTAGTTCGAACTTACAACTCGAAGGAGACGTTTCGCCGACATTCACTCAGCCGACAGCTCAGTTCGATGATAACGATAACCTCTTAAATAATAACAACTCGCGCCTGGGCCGAAACAGCGATAGTAACTGCAATAGCCCCACTAAGAGTCCCACAAGTCGACGTGCCGGTAGCTCAACAAGCTTTCAAATACATCTACAGAATGCCCAATACGACGAGGATGATGACCTAGCCGTCGGGGACTTGCAGGGCAATAGCAGTGCAGCTCCGACTGTTGGTGGAGGTGGCGCCGCAGTCCGTGCCGCTGCCACTGCCGGTGGCTCCTCGCAAGATTATTGGTCTCAGCGCAACGGTAGAGCCAGCGGACCAGGTGGCGGTATCCAGGGTCGTGCGCTTAGTCCCAGCTATCTGGATAACATGAGTGAAAACTCAGAGCAGCCGCCAGTCGTGCCGCTTGTACGCTCCAAATCACGACCAGAAATCTCGAGTGCCGCTGCCTCCCGTTACTCGAATCTATCGTACTGGAAGGCTCGTCGTGTCGTGTTCTACCGCAATGGCGACCCTTTCTTTCCGGGCGTCGAGTTGCGCTACCGTCCCGGGCGAGATGTTACCTCGCTGGACAATCTGCTCGACAAAATCTCTCCCAAAATGGACTTGCCACGCGGTGCACGCTACGTCTTTTCCATGGATGGCGACCGAAAGTACCACCTAGATGAACTGGAGGACGGTGCATTCTATGTGGTCTCCTCATTCAAGGTCTTCAAGGTAAGTTCTCCTTTTTATAACGCGTATTATAAGCGACGCGTGCTTAGCTTTAATTTAAATTTGTTTTACACATTTTGAAGTTTAAGTGTTGCTTTTCACGTCAACTTTAGTGCAAAATCAATAGAAATTTGAATATTTTGGTATAATTATGCAAATTGAATTCCAAAAAACATATATATATATATATATATATATATATATATATATATATATATATACACTTTATATACATATATACTCATATAAATTATATACACTGTAGGTTTTTGCGGCTAGCGTTCCATTCCCCAACTCCAGTCCGAGCCCTCTATTCGGGCCAGTTTTGGCCCAAAAACTTAAGAAACTCTCACTTTTGTTTTTCCACAGTTTTCGGTTCCGCACTCACATGTTTGCATGCGAATACTTTCGTCTTTTTTGACCATTCGTCGCTCTCACTGCTGAGCGCTTTTTCCTAAGTTCTCAGTATGTGTACAAGTGTATGTGTACAAGTGTATGTGTACAAGTGTATGTGTACAAGTGTATGTGTGTGTGTACAAGTGTAAGAATATGTGTATAGCAACTGAAACTATGTAATACTCGTTTGCTAGTATTTCTAGCCTGTTGGTCTATTTGTATAACATTCGTGGGAGTTTCACTTTTTACACGCTACGCGCGCAAAGTATAAATTCGTGAAATGGGGTGAATTTAAAAATTAGGTCTTGCGTTTTATGGCCCTTTTATATGGTTTCTAAGAGAACTATCGCTGTTTGTAAAAGAGCAAAAGAGAGTGCTCATCAGCCACGACTTTGGCATGGTTGGTAAAATATTTTTGTGAGACAGAATTGAAAGTTCGAGACGCAAGTACCGATACTTCACTTCTTAAGTAAAAAGCAGCTAATCTAAGCAAAAACTAAACAAAAACTCAATCAGACACACATTTCTATCCAATTCATTCAAATAAATCATTATACATCGATAGATTCCGATAAGCTCACGTGGAAGGCAAATACTCTAATGCACGATTCTAGCCCCCTGTAAACGCAGTGAGACTCTGTAGATATTTTCGAATTGCATGAAGCTCAAATCGAAATTTTAGGCAATCAACGAACTGCACTTCCTGCACGTCCCACGGCAACTATTGAGCGAGTGTTACATGCCTTTGGGAAAGTCTGAGCAGTGTCGATAGGAGTCCATGCATTCATAATCCGCAAAGATAATGGCTTGGTGTGCCTTGACCTGCCTGGGCATTCCGCGTATTCAGGTTATTCGCCGACTGTATTCCTAGTGCACTCAGCCCGGCAAGCGCATAAGATCGTTCGAGACAAAGGCTCAAGCTGAAGCCAGCCAAAACCCATGCACCTGCACCAGCAAAGTACCCCGGGCACTGCGCGTGGCTGGTAAACAAAAGCGCAGCAGGAGACTTTTACCATATCAAATCTTATGACGAGGCGCCGGTCGCTCCGCCGGCGGTGCTGCTGCCGCATGGAGTTCCGTGTGGAGCAGGAGGTGCACGAAAGGCAAGAAGGAACAATACCAAAGCATCAGGCACCGGAGCAGGGAGGGGCAGCCATGCCTTGCAGCTGCTTGAAGTGCATGGGATCCAGTGTTGTTCTCTGTAGCTCTACGAAGCCCCTTGTGAGGAACGGGCCAATTTAAAACTTGCGGCATCTCACTTAGGGAAATTAAACGTGTATGCATGAGAAGGACAATGGGAAAGGAGGGCAACAGAAGAGAGCCCTTCCTCGAGAGGGCGTCGACTGCGAGCGCCCTAAGCAAGTGTAATAATAGAAATTAATCTAGGCTCATATTTGATTAAACAGGAGCTGAGCTTCTGGCACGCAAGCAACGGCAGAGGTTTACCAAAGCATTTATGATAATTCATTTGTCACGGGGCGTGCGTGACCCGTGTGCTGCAGCCGTTGAAGCTCATATGATTTGGGGTGCAGCAAATTGCATTCGCCTTGTTAAAATAATTGATAATATGGCAAAATGGCCCTGAGTAACTAGGCCAATCGAGACTGGGATACACCTACTCAATGCTAGTCAATTAGCTGCTCTACAGTATGCAGAAATGCTCCGTGTCCATCCACAAATGTTATGGCAAAATCTTTCAGAATTCAGAAATTTGAAGCTCCTCTAAAGTTGTTAGGTGCAGCCAGTTGGAAATGATAACCGGCTAGGGCAACCGCGAATCGCATGCACGATATTAAAGGAACGGAAGGGTGTCGGCGTCGGCGTGTGTACTTTGAGGCTTGGGCTTGTGCGCCCTAAATTGGAAGAAAAATGGACACGAAGGGCTTCTGGCTTTCAAGCCATTCAAAAGAAATTAAGATTTTTGGCACAAACGTGCGCCGCAGGCCAAGAGCGAAACCTCTGCATCGCGAGTGCAGCACGCAAGGTCAGGAGTCAGAAGTCAGCAGCCAGGAGCAAGGAGCCAGCAGGAGTCACGAGTCAGGGCCAGGCGCATTGTAATTAACTCCAAAACAGAACCGCACGACCGCACGAAATTTGACGAGTTCTTATATGTATATATATATATATAAATATTATAACCCCATGCATCTGTGCGCTTCTACCGAGCGTCGCCATCATCCACAGACAAGTAATGAATTCCGCTGCCATTTACGTGATGCATGCGACTGAAATGTGGACACAAATTGCGCGTTAGCATCTGTTAGCGAGGACAATCTCATCTGCAGCCATCTTCGTCGGCAGCTACCACAATGAATTGTTGCTGCTCGCATGTCCATCCGAAGAGGGCTGATGCATTTTTGAGTACGTCAGCATTGCTTTGCATATTAAGTGAATTGATTCGATAAACAATTGTTGCACGTAGCGTCTGCCAGTCGTTTGCTTTTTGGTTTATCGCCAATTTAGCTTAGAGTGCGGGCTCAGGGGTGCTCTGGAAATACCTAAGCACACATACATATATATCCATATAAATACTTGCGTGTGTGTGTGTGCGTGCCCTGAGCCATATGCTATTAGGGTTAAACGACGCACAAGCCGTTGCCGCAGAGGCAGCAGCAGCTAAATAATCTCTGCAACGCAAGCACCGACTTAACATCTATTAATATTACGCATAGGCCATGTTGCAAATGCATTTGAGTTGCAAATGTGACCGAAGCCGGCACAGCTGCTGGTGTTGCTGCAGCTGCATAATCCGTAAGCGGACTTCAACCTGGAGCCCAAAAGCACTTTAGCAAATTACTGGCTGCCAATTACGAGGCATTTCCAAATCATAATAGACACGTTTGATGCCATTTAAAAGCCATTCAGCCATTTCAAATGTTGTGGTCAAGTGTGAATGCGATGTTTTAATTGAAACACAGCAGACGTAAAGCGACAAGCGCTGATGAAATAAATATCGCAGCCACATATGCATATATGTAGGTGTTGAAATTAAAAACACACAAGAGAGAAAACATCGCCACCCAACCAGACCAATAATAACAATTATTAAATGCAATGGAACACAAATTGAAAATAATAAAGCCAACAACACACTCTCACCGCCTTCGGTGGCGCAATAACAACTCGTTGAGCTACAGTGGATACTACTTTAAGAGAGCACTATTTAAATATATTTTAATATCATACCAACATCATTAATTACAGGCAGGAGGAATTCGGGTTTTTCTAAAGCAAAATAATGGAATGAAATTATAATTAATTAAATTGTACATATCTAACTTCAAAAGACGCGATAAAGATGAAAGAGAAGCTTTAGATACATTTGAGTGCATCATACATTCGATTTGTGAAAGTATAACAATACTCAAATAGATTCAGGGTATCTGCATGAAAGCACTACCGACTGCTACAGCTATTTCACTTGTTAGTTCATCTCTGAGCTATTTTTGAGAAATATTATAAATGTTTTTGGCTGACTGCACTCTGTTCTCGACCATTGTTCACTGTTCAACAACCAGTGGTCAGCATTCAGCTCCGCTCAGTGTGAGCAGGCCGACTCGCCGGGAACAGCCAGAGCGTTCCGGCCTCTTGGCACCCGCCGGACATTCTTGTATAAACATGACAATTTAAAACGCATTACAGTGTGGCAATTAATTAAACTGTCATTGGTTGCAGGATTCGAAATTGCTCGCGTGCAAAGAGTCAAAATAAATTGTGTACAAGGCGCACTGGGCTAAAAGTAGCTCCCAGGGTAAATGGATGGTCAGCCGGTCGCACTGCCAGACAGTCAAATGGCTAGACCGTAGATGGCAGTAAAGCATTGCGTGAATTTATTGAATTGTAAAAAGAACATATATCAGCGTTTTTAATTGCAGCATCAGAAATTGCGACGTAAACACCAACAAGAAGTGGCGTTGAATAAATAACGGAGAACAGTCGCAAGTTGCCGTGGTTGCAGCCGCACCACTATAAATTAATAGAGCGACGGCGTTATATTTCGCAGCGGAGCACGACTCCAAGGCAGTCTTATCATATTTGCAATTTTGAGCTTCTTTAAAGATGTTCTATTTTTATATATGGGCATATCTCCAGAAAGGTCAACCACAGCCAAAAAATTCAAAGTCAATGAATGCATGTTCTGATAACATATTTTTATAGCTAATCGATTAAATTTAACTAATATAAACTAATTTTACATTTATTCATAGCACATCTCGAAATATTGACACACAAAGCCGAGCAATTGCCAAAGTTCTGCTTTGAGC